CGTGCCGCAACTTATAGTTTCTTATATTACTCTTTTTTATTCGAACCTTTGAACCTTTTTTATCTTTACTCCTTCTTGATCCTAAACACATGACCCTTCGATGACTGCAATAAACATAAACGCTGTCCCTATGCCTAACGCATATTTTCCTTTTGACAAAACCGCTTCCTTCCAATAAACATTCCGCCGCTACGATTTTCCTACAGCATCTTAAACGAAGATCATTCTCGCCAGTTCAGTTCTCGATCAAAGCTCAAACCAGCAACATCAAATAAAGACTTTTTCCACAAACGTGTCCCGACTTATTCTAAATAATCTATTACGTAGCTATACGCTCGTAACAGCACACGTACGTGTGACGTCACGATTCTCGTTTGTATGCGTGCTTCCCCTACCGCGGTGCTCGGGTGCTGGCCGGCTCGAGTTTGCATCACTGCCTCTGACAATATTTATTAAAAATTGTTAGCTGACGTTAGATCGCCTCTGACAATATTTCTTAAAATCTGCCAGTTCACGAATAAATCGTCTTTAGCTCTCTTTTTCTAAACTGTCAGCTGACGTTAGATCGCCTCTGACTATATTTATTAAAAATTGTTAGCTGACGTTAGATCGTCTCTGGCTTTTGTAATTCTAAATTGCCAATCTACGAGAAAACCGCCTCTGGCTTGTCTTATTCTGTATTGCCAGTCCACGAGAAAACCGCCTCTGGCTTGTCTTATTCTATATTGCCAGTCCACGAGAAAACCGGCTCTGGCTTGTCTTATTCTGTATTGCCAGTCCACGAGAAAACCGCCTCTGGCTTGTCTTATTCTGTATTGCCAGTCCACGAGAAAACCGCCTCTGGCTTGTCTTATTCTTTATTGTAAGATATTTTTATTACGTCATATGTTTATATATATAATGTATATTATGTGCTATATGTCCAACAAATCAGGCTGCAATACAGGCCCTACCATGAGAACATCGTTCATTGAGATGCCGGTGGATGTTTTGCAAGAGGCGTCAAATACCACGCGTAGCTTCGTTGTCAAGCTTGTGCCCTTGAGCACTGGGTGGTGAGACAAATAATAGCCGGGCTGGCTTAGCTTAGAGTGTTCAACTCTCGTCATGTGGCCTAGTTGTTGATACTCTCTTAGAAATTGTACGTATTGTTTCCTCAGTGTAGGATCTCTCTGTAATTTTCGTTCCATTGCATGAAATCTTTTCAACGCTGTTGCCCTTGAATCTCCCAGTTGTTCAATCTTATCCATTCTGAAAGGAAGCCGTACGACGAACTGACCGTCAGCTGTCCTGTGTGTGGTTTTGACAAAGTACTCTTCGCAACTATTCTCCTCTCTCGTGAGTCTGGGTCTCTCATTGCATTCTTCACGTTCCCAAAACTTGGTTAAGCTTTCATCGAGTTCTTGATTTGTGATTAAATGACATAACGTGCGATTCTCGTTGCGAAATTGTAATTGAGCGGTCGTTCCACCCAAAATCCAACCAAGAAGAGTCTTTTGCAGGACTGGATGCTCTATTGTGGCTTTGATTTGGCCGACACACAAAATGTCCCAAAAAACTTCAGCGCCCAACAGTAGGTCCACATCTGCTGAGACATGAAAATCTGAATCGGCGAGACGTAGGTTTGGCGGAATGTTAAAATTGTGCTCGCCAGCTGAAATCGAAGGAATAGGATCAGTTATTCGCTGTAATATTAAACAATTAATGTTTTTTTGATATTCATAAAATCTCGAACGAATTGATATTTTAATCATGTCTTTAACTTGGCTAATAATCTGGTTGACGTCCACCACAGGGACGCTAACGTTGTGCCGTGTGAGTCCCAGCTTTTTACTTAGATTCCTTGTCGCGAAATTCACTTCAGAGCCGGCATCTAATAAGACCCTGCATGTTGACCATTCGTTTTTATAATTTAAGACCCAGACGACAGCTGTAGATAACCAAGTGTGCTTCTTAAGACTATCGCAAATCGGCGTGCCTGATGACAAAGATGAAGTGAGAGTTATCTTATTATTTGCAGGTTTGATAGCCGTGCTCCTTTCCTTGTCCGATGCCTCTCGAGTAGTCTCAGCGGCCACCAAATGCAGCAGGGTGTTGTGTTTCTTGTTGCACTTCTTGCATCCTCCCGAAGTACAATCTTTAGCTTGATGTGTCGTTGACCTGATGCAATTGAGGCATAATTTATTATTTTTGACCGAAGCTATGCGATCGTAAACTGCCATTTTTAAAAACGTTTCGCATGCGAATGCGAGATGCTCGCCGTGGCAAATGGGACACTCCTTTCTTTGCGTAGAGACATTTGATGAGACTCTAGAGTGTCGATTTCGATCAACGTTGGCTGTAATAGCAGGTTGTGCCCTTTTTTGAATGACTTCGAGCGTGTGGCATCGTCTTTCCAGAAACTCTATTAAATTTTGCATGGTTGGGAATTCTGCTTCGGAAAGGCTGTTCTCCCATTCCTTGTTGGTGTTGGTGTCAAGTTTGCTTGTGATTATGTAGACTAATAAGTCTCCCCATTGATCGGTTGAGCGGCCTAATGCCCTTAATGCGCGTACGTGCTTTAGAACGCCGTCACAGAGCGCCCGTAGAGCCACATGACTTTCTTTTGTGATGATAGCTAGCTCAAAAATTGCTTTAATATGTTTTTGAATGATTAATCGTTTATTGTCATATCGAGCTGTGAGCATTTGCCACGCTTCCTGATAGTTGGCTGCAGATACCTCGAGGGATTGTATGACCGTCGCGGCGTCGCCTCGAAGTGCGGATCGAAGATAGTGGAACTTTTGAATACTTGATATTGTAGGAACGTTGTGGATCAACGACTGAAAGGTGTCGTGGAAAGTGTACCATTCCTCGTAACCTCCGGAAAATGTAGGCAGTTCGATTTTTGGTAATCGTAAACTATTCGTCGGTTGTTGAGGTCCTTGTCTTGGTGCGTCCATAACCTCGCGCTCGATTATCAATTGATCGAACCTGGATACAATATCGAAATATGTTTCCTCGAATTCACTACGATCTTGTGATGCATCGTTTTCCTCTTCAATTGATTCGATCATCGTCTGTATGTCATTAAATTGATCCCATGTTCGCGCAATTTTGTCCTTACGTTCGCGTAATTGTGGCAAAATTACTTGTCGTGCGTTATCTGAATCAAGAAATGTAGCTGCTCGTGTTAGCGTTGATCTCAATACGCCTCGCGTTTGCTTGAGTCTTTTTAATTCCGTCATCATGCAATACTCAATTCAGGAGATAAGGAAAGGTAAAGGTAACGAATGATTGGAGACTTACCCTTTACAGCTATTGTCCGTGCCGCGATCCACGTGGAAGTCGCTCGATTGTTCGTTGCCGAAATTCGTTATTCGGCGTCCTTTTCTTTTTCACGCTTGCTATGATTCGCTTGAATCCTGTCCACGACGTTTGACGGAGTGAAGAAAGCAAGCAGACGATCAATTTTCTTGATCGTACTCAATTATATGCGATGCTTGTGAACACGTGCCCGTTGAGGCTTGACGTGCTATACGGCCGCCATGTAGGCTGCACTTCGTTGCAACTTTCTGTATTTTCTACCGAATATCACTGTTTGACAAGATATCCGGCTCGAAGGACCATGTTCCGTAATGAGAACAGTATGTATATATGCACTGGTTCGAAATAAAAACACTTTTTATTGGTTATGAATGCTTGATAGCTGCCTTTATTATGTTATGGCTGGCGACGTGCGACTGACTGACTCGGCTCTTCTTCTTGCCGTGCGCGACGCGTGACGGAAACAAAACAGAGTGGCGCGCAGTGATACATGTAAACGCGGTAACTCAAGATAATTAGAAGTAATAATTAAAATAAAAAATGCATAATTAACTTAAATATCAAACACACTGCATAATAAAATGTTATGGAACCATTAAAATTGGGCTGAAAAGTCTAATGTAAAAAATATTCTTGTCCGACTATTTTTACATACGTGTGCGTCCAATATCGGTATAACAGATGAAAAAATAACAGAAGATTAGTTCCAGGATAATATCAGAGAGGCGCTATACAATAATATGCGAATATATACACGCACCACACATACGCATACACAATACATTCATACTTAGATTATGACTTATGCCGATAATATCACTCTCATTTTTAGTTCCATCGAAATGATGGCGCTTTCGC